GAACTCTTTTGTCCTGTAAATGTGTCTTTTTTTCATATTTCTGAATACGAGAGCTGAATGTCTAATCAATTTTCACTCCAACTCATTCTATAGGCTGTTTAAAGGTGATAATTAAATGTCTGATGCATGTTTGGTTTGAATTTTTTATTTCCTTCACTGTCAAAAAACATATTCCAAGGGTGAATGCATCACGTGTTACAGAAGACGGCAGAAGATAAAAAAGAACATTTTGAACAGATTTATATATCACTCAGAGAAAAGCTTTCCTAGCTGCTGATGTTTAAAATCAGTTGCCATTTTTGGATATGAATTCACTTCAGTGACTTTCACCTCTTTTTTTTTAAGAGTTTTGGAAAAAGAAAAAAAAAATTTAGGAATTAAATGCGCATTCACAAAATTCTTTTCACTTTTATACAGCCAAACACAGGTCTTATTGTGTGTAAAGGGCCATCTTTTAGACGGCAACAAAGATTTTTAAATTCCTTGATTCTTTCTTCGTGAAAGCTTTGGTTCGGTTCTGCAACGTTTGAATCAAACGTGAAGCAGGCTGTTGAAAAGGAGAATGGGTAAACTAAAAGACAAAATGTAAGGAGATAAAAAAAAAAAAAATCGTCGAAGGAAAACGGTGAATAAACATATCTTCCATCATATTTCAAAGAGATATCAAACCCAAATGCAGGTTTTTGACACCTCAGTAGATTCCCACTACAAACAGATAGCAGAACCAGCTCAACTAATTCTCTTTAAAAGGGAAGTTGTGGGACTTAATGAGGCATAACTAATGGAGGTCCCACAACCATCAGCACCATGCTGGAAGCCCTGTGGCAGGACAGAGTCACCATTGATTCTTGCTTCAAGCCTCTTGAGTTCCTAATCAGCTTCTTTAGTTGTGCGTTTCAGGCCTGAAAAATCCATTGTTGGCCTGTGTCACTGGAGGTCAGTAGTTATTAGTGGCAACTGAAAACAGTTTCTCCAACTACTTATGAGAAAACTGAATGACATGCAGACGGGGACTTGAAGGGGGGATTACTGGCAGTGCAGCAAGTCCGGACGCCACAGAGGAGAATGTGACATGGTTTTCTAATAAGGGATGCCTGACTCCTAACCACCGCATCCACACATGCACATAACCTGGTCCTTCAACCTCTGCCCCCTCCTCTTTAAAAGTCTTGAAATACCTACTTCGGCCTTGCATGGCTAATATTCTAAAATTGTATTCATAAGCAACAGAAATGACCACTATAGGTGCATTTTAGTTCACTTTATCGTCAAGTTAAAAAAAATTGGCTTTATATCAATAATTTGACTTCTTTAAAGTGTTTCTCTTGTTTTCTGTAGACGTATTTTGTTTTCAGGTGTAATTTAGTTTCTTGTTTAAATTAGAACTCTTCATAGGGCAGACTTATAGTTGGTGGAAACCACAAAAATCCAGGAGGAGCAGGTCGCTCAAAGAAAAAAAAAGGGGTGGGGGTGGGGGGGAGAAAGTTTCTTCTTGGCAGAACACAAGGGCAATACACTAATTAAAATCTTGCTCTGTGTTTCTCAGTGCTTGCCAATTCAGAGCATTCATGCTCTCTGAGAAATGAAAAAGCAGACCTTGTTACTCCAAATCATTTCACATGCAAGATCTGGGTCCCATCTAAGAAACTGGAACAGTGAGACTGGTGGGAGTGAAGGGGGAAGATTATAACCCTGTCAGTGTCTTTTATGGTATCATGTCCTTTTAAAAAAAAAAATTTTATTATGAATTTAGTTCGCATCAACCATTAAGGGAAAAACTCACTTAACAACAACAAGAAACCGGGTCAGACTCTGTTTACAGCTTTCGGCTTTAATTGCCTTACGCAATAATCTGACAGTGAAACAACTTCTCTTTCTATTACAGTAAAAAATAAAATAAAAATGAAACCAATTTGTGCAAATATACATGTTTCTGTGTAAACGATGCAGCTAATAATGCGAAGCTCTTGCCAATTAGCGCTCTCCAGGTTGCTAGGTCGCCATGGTCAATTGAGGAACACATCAATAGGACTTGAAAAGGTTTCTCTGCGATCAGACCTTCTGACATATTAAGTAGAATAATGGGGAGGAAGGGAGTTGAGGCGGGGAGAAACGGGGGGAAGGGGAGCTGGAGCAAGGCTTCCTTCTACCTCCACATTATGCAGTGCAACCTGCAATTACCTGAAAAGAATAGTCAGAGAAAAATCCTTTACATTAGTTAAACACAATATTTTCTGCTTCGTGCTTTCTGTTAACTATGGAGTGCTGATGGACCCCCTTCCAGCCCTGATGGAAATATCTGCTTTGAATAATAGAGGCAGTTTCGATGCACGAGTTGCTGTTTGTAAATGTGGGGCTATAGGAGCACATGTGATGAAAGATCACAGCTTTCCCAGATAAATACACAGAGGAAACATCACACTCTGAGCATGCAGCCCTCTAAACTTTCCAGACAGAAATGATGATGCCAGCACCAATTACAGTGCCATGCCTGTCTCATATAACCTTACAAAAAGAGGCTCCCCCTCCTCCTCCCAATAAACTGAGAGCAGCAACAGGCACAATAGACAGTGATTACCTAGCATAGCCTATTAGTGCGCCATAACTATGGCTATTGAAAAGAGAAAAGAATGGCTTCACCTCCACTTTCATTTCATGCGGCCCACCATCAAAAGCTTTGTTGACAGCTCATTCATGCCCTCAATTTACAGGCAAAATCTATCAGGAGCATCTTGCAGCATCAAAGAGTGTTTCAAGGAATGCATGACCTGTTTAATGCTCTTCTCAAACTCCCATCCGGAGTTGTTCTCACTTCTACATGTCAGGTGCATATTGGCTCCGGCGCCTCCTTGTAGAGGAGGGATGATGGTCCATATACATACAGCTGTCAGGTACATGGAGGCGTTTTGGAAATAGAGGGCCTTCAAGGTCTCATTTGAGAAACACTGATAGCCATCATCATCATCACAGGGTGTCATCAGTGAGGAGATTGAGAAATAATTTACAAATGTGTTTAAAGGAGCGCAGAAAATGGAAAGTGAGTCTATTACCAGCTGCTGCTGGGGAAGAAGGACAAAAGCAGCTGATGCTAAAGGATGACCTTAAACATTTTGGAGTTTATTTGCACAAATTATAAATCGTCTACAGAGGTTGAGCAAAACCAGAGAGGTATTTCAATGAGTGGATGTGTTTCTGTAAGAAGATGCCTTAATTCAGAAAAAAAAAAAAATCATTTGAAAAACGATTTAAAATCAGAATAAACACATAACACCATGCAACATTTGTGCCAACTTTAAAATGCAATACTTTAACCATCTTTATGAAATCTTTATCACTGTTACAAAAACAATACAATAATTTTAATCCCGCTATGTGTTCCCCAGAAATTTCTAGCTTCAGCGGATTTATTCTCTCTTTGAAGAGAGAAGTGGGTCCTTGTTACTCCTCATCGTTTGACACGGGGGTAAAACTTGGGTCCCCCAGAACAAAGCTGTGAAACTTGTGGGAGAAAGTAAAAAGAAGATGACAAATATATAATAATAATAATAAATGTTGCAGATATTACAAAAAAAAAGTTTAAAATACTAATGCTTTTTTTATTACAAAACAAACATAAATCCCTTAAATTGTTGAAATGGAGCTTAATGTAGGCCTCAATTTAAAATTGTAATACTGAATTTCATAAAGGTTTACATATTTAATAATGATAATAATATTATTAATAATAATAATAATAATGGCAATAATAACGATGATAATGATAATAATATCATCATTACAATAATTCACAAATTGTTAAAGCAAAATAAAAACCTTAAATTATTTGTTTATTTAAAATTGCAATAAAATTTTATAATTGTATTTTAAATTATTATTATTAATAAAATTAATAAAAATAATTAAAAATAATAATAATAAATAATAATATTAGTATAATTAGCTTTAATGTCACTACAAAGAGCGGCATGTACTTTATGCCTTTACGAAACATAAGCTCTTGGTTCTTATTGCAATAATTGGCTGTAATTGTGTTTTTAATGAAAGCTCGCTTTCACAATAAAATTGACCAATTACACATGAGCAACACGAAGGTCTGGGCCTATCGAGGAGAATAAGGTCAATATGATTGAGGAGTTCCCAGGAACAAAAAAATGGAATGTCAAAATAGATTAATACAGTATTGCATAAATTGTCAGTTTTGAAACGGGCTGAAAAGTGGCAGACTTCTTCAAAGAGGTGGTTTCCTGGTCCTGAAGTCTTACAGGATCTCCAATGAAAGCCAGCCCTTCAAAATGTCACCTGAACAATGCTGGCTACCTCATCGACCTTGCTTTCCAGCTCAATTTGGTCTCAATAACAACATAATGAAAATGCACTCCAAAAAAAAACAGAACCAACCCCCCATATTTTTTTTTTTTTTTTTTTTTTTTTTTAGAAAATCAAAAAAATTACTTCTTCAGAAATAGCTCTCACACTTCAAGTTATTTATTGTTAACGTTGGTGTTGAAACATATACAGCAGCCATCACGCATTTGTTCCTTTTTTTTTTTTTTAACTTACAAAAGAAAATAAGAATAAAGAAAACAGAACTGTGGACTCTATACGATTATTATACAGTTTCCTCGAGTGTTAGCCAAATATACAAGTAACTATGATTCATTAAGTCTAGATCAATACATAAGTTTACAATATTGATAAAATACAAAGTTATTACCGCAAAAGGAGTGGTGGTTTTAGTGTACTTCAAATCTGAGCCCACCTTTCCTCTTCAGTACAAATAAGTGAAGCAGCATCGTCCTTTTCGTCTCAACAACATATAACATCATGAGGAAGGTCCAAAACATGAGTTACAAAAGGTCCAGAAACCACTCAGTCAAGGGGGGGCATTTCTAAAAATGTCCAAAAATAGACTCCCCTGTCAGAGATGTCAAGAAAATGTGCCCTGAACAGTTGATGCGCCTCTTTGAGCCTCGGTGCGCACTGCGTGTGTGTGTGTGTGTGCGTGTGTGTGACATAGAAAAGTGGAACAGTTTTGCTGAGGTCCTACCACGTTCTGCCGTACAGGAGGTTTGAGTTGACCATGTTACTGGTGTAATCTACAGCAGACGTGTCTATCTGGGCCATGTTGAGCTGGCTGTGCAGGGAGGGGGGGCTGGGCGACATCTCCTCCAGGTCCAGCGCGTTCACCTGGCTTTGGTGCTGGCTCACCGAGGACGCGAGCACGACTCCGGCTCCGTTTTGTTGCTGGCTCTGCTGCTGGTTCTGCTGCACCTGGCTCGGCGTCGGCGTGTTGGAGCCGTTCTGACACGGCTTACCGTCCTTCACGAGCACGGGCACGGCCACGCGCCGCGGGGACTGCGCCTGCTGTTGGCACAGGTTGCCGTCCTGTTGCTGCTGCTGCTGCAGCTGCTGCGCCGCCTTGTCCTTGGCCTGGCGCTTCATCTTGTACCGGTGGTTCTGGAACCAGATCTTCACCTGGGTCGGCGTCAGGTGGATCATGCTGGCCAGGTGCTCCCGCTCCGGCGCCGACAGGTACTTCTGCTGCTTGAACCTCCTCTCCAGCTCGTAGACCTGAGCTTGCGAGAACAGCACGCGCCTCTTCCTCCTGGGCGCCGCGTGGAGCGCTGGCATGGCTTTGCTGGGGTCCGCCATCCCGGTGAGACTCCCCATGCCAGTCATGTTCATACCTGTGGAAGGTCCCATGAATCTAGAAACTTAAACATATACATACATATACATGCGTTCAATAAACAGAAGAGGAGAGCACTGTTTCGTCTGAATTTATCTTACAATTAATTTATAAAAGTTGGATTGAGGTAAAAAAAAAGGCTTGAATAATAATAATAATAGTAATATTAATAATAATAATAACAATAATAATAATAATAATAATAATAATAATAATATGAAAGTCGTGCTAAACAGAGAAAATCGAATCAGACTTGAAAAAATGATCTCCTTTTCCGTTTAATTATCTTATTTTTAAATGATTCAAATCGACTTTTTATTATAGCAGACATTATGTTTAATATATTTGCGCTCTCATTCCTGATGTTTTGTTTGCATATTTTTCTAGACCAAAATAATAATTAAAAAAAAATATATATATATATTTTAAAAGGCACAAAAGTGTAAATAAATCGAACTCACTTGTGGAGTATCTGGGATCAGGGTTGGCGCTGTACCATCCTGTGGCTGCTGCACTATTCCGCATGCTCTCCTGGTACGACGGGAGGTCTCCCATGTTGCCAATGCTTCCATTGCAGTATCCCCCCATTGCGCTGTGGGAGAACTGGGAGACGCTGTGCGGCATGTGGTAAGTGGTGGCCATGGAGGCGTTGTGGCCCATGGAGTGCTGCTGCATGCCGGTCTGAGACATCTGAGGCTGCCGGTAGGCTCCCAGTGGAGAGGTTAGGTTCCCTGCGCCGTCCATGCCACCAAACTTCTTGTAGGTCTCCTCGATTGGACTCAAAATATCTGTCACTGAAAAAGGCGTAGTGTGCTTTGGGCTCAACGACATGATTCGGAAAGCAGGTGGATTTTTTGTGTTTGAGCAGATCAACCGTGTTGTTGTATCGGCTCTCTCCTTGGTGGATGTCTACGTAAGAGAGTGCTTGGAGTGCGCCTGAGATCCTATTGATCGCCTTGGAGAAGGAGGCGAGCCCAGGGCGCTCTTAGCCCGGGTTTATTGGAGCCAGGAGCCAGGTTTACGACAAACACAGGGGGCGGAGCAAAACTCCTAAACCAGCAAACAATAGTCATTGACATTTTAGGGGGAATAATTCACGAAATCAAACGCCTCAGTTTGGATTAATGCGTAAAACCGAGCGCTAATTTCATGATCATATTCTTTCAGCTTTATTCATCTGGAAGCAGCTCGTGTTGTTTTGTTCACCAGCTGATCCGATCACATATGACTGTTTTGCGTCAGTGGGGAATTCCACACTTTTCAGAAACTTTGAGAGCACTTTGAACAGACACAAGGGCCACCGAGTATCATCAAAGTGCCACAATGAAGTTGTATGACCAGCTCATTTAGTCTTCTTAAGCATCATTTTACCCCAGCAGAGAGGGACAAGTCCAAATCCACAAAATGCTGGAAAAAAAAGGGGGGAAAGGCAGTGGAGATCCAAAAATGTAGAGTGCGCGCTGCAGGCAAGAGAGGCATGCGCGAAGCTTGGATTGTGCCAAAAGTTGCCATCAAGTTCTAACTTTGGATATAATTTTGAAGACTTGGTGGACTTTGAAGGCAACATTGTTGGCTTTAAGCCGCCAGGTCTGCTCAGTGCAGTCTTGACCCGACATTGTAATCTTTGAGCAAACTGACTGGCGCCAGGGGAAGAATAGAAGGAGAGAAACAAAAAGAAGGTCAAGAGACAAAGAGGCAAAGCTGCAACAGATTGTCATAATGAAAAGTAAAAAAAAAAAAATCACATTTTCATATGAAATATATATTAAAAAGTTTACCTATATTGTCAGAATTAAACCACTTTTTTTATATACACTATAAAGAATTTACAGCAGCAGTTCTCCTGTAAGTTGTTTATTTTTTTTCTGTGGGAATTGTTGCTGCTGCGCGCAGGAAGCTCTCTCCTCCATGAAACCACTAATGAAATGGCGCATGGCGTGGCAGCGAGCAGCTACCTTCCCTAATTGAGCAAATGAAGATGTGACATGGTCAGCCATCAATTACAGCAACACAACGAGAAGCCCGTTCCTCCGTGAAGCTGATCACCTGAATGCAACATGATTGTTCTCATGCGTCGCTCCTTTTTTCTCTCGTTTCACTTTTTTCCTCCGAGTTAAAGTGAAGTGGCTGAACTTTATTGTGGCTGAGGTAAAACAGAAGGAGTCAAAGTTTTGCTTTCTATGACACAAAACTCCTGTTTAATTGTTTGTGCACATGTACCTGCCATTTTATTTATTTATTTATTTATTAGATTAAGGATTCCTACCTGTAAACATCCCCACTTGTACAAACATCTGTGCGCTCTTTCCCCCTCTTTGTGAGAACGGCAGCACCGGGTTTCAAGTAGAAAAAGGAAAGGTAGGCCTCGGCCCAGACCTCTAACATTATGGAAATGAGGCAAACCTCTCAACCTTGTGGATTACCGAGTCAGAGAGCAGGACCTCAGTCCACAGACCCTCCACATTAGGATCCCATAAAAATCTGGCGCTTGTTTGGCTGCATCCAACGCGTAAAAGCTTTAAATCGACACGATTTTTTTCTATATTTTTGTTCCGTTTTGTGAAGTTAAGTTAAAAGCAGTGAATAAAATGTGAGAGAAAGGCAGCTGGAGCAGGATCCCCGGACCTGACGAGGAAACGTGAAGACTCATAAGGTTGGTCAATACGAACCTCTGCGTTTTACGCGGAAATTATTGAAAGTGAAATCAGTTTTCTTTATGTTTGCTGTATTTATTAAGCTATATCTAGAGTTGGATGCTGCGTGTCAACGGAATGAAAGAAGTTTAAACGCAGATTCTGATAAATATTTTTAATTGGTCTTTATTGACCTTTTTAGACCTTAAAACCAAAACTTGGTGGTACAAAGAATTAAAATGTCGTTTACTCTTTTTAAAAAATAAACTGAAATATAATTTAACTTTATAAAGAGATCCCTAAATTAAAACGCATATTTAATGAGTTTGATGCTTTTTTGTTTTATTAGCTTATTCTAGGTGAAATCTTACTCATTCCCAACTTTCAAAAGAAGTGAATTTAGCAAACATGAAACAATTAATTCAAAATTCCCATTTCTGTATATGTCGCATAAATCTAGCCACCAGGTCCAGACAATCAATATTTCGCCTTTTATAATAAAATCTTTAGTGCCCAATGACTGCCGCAACATTCTAATTGAACATCAAATCCAATTTTCGGATAATTCAAAGCGTTTTTAAACCAGATTCCAAATAACAAACCATTTATATAACCGGTTTATGTCCTACACATAACCTTTTTCTAATATATCATCATCCCCACTCAGCTCAACGCAGCGGATGGATCTATATGCGCCTGCTTCCTGGCGTGTTTTTTTTTTTTTTTTTTTTTTTCTGGTTGATGGGAGTTCACTTCCCTGAGAGATGTGTAGAAATGGCTAAAGGGCCGAAGTCCTGACCTGCAAACTCAATCTCACACCAGTCGACAAGACAGAGCACAAAATACGGGAAATATTTGGATTGTGGACAATTAATATTCTTTTCTAAACTATTTTTTTTATTTTAATTTAAAAGAGTGCCCATTTTTTTGAAAGTGGGATAATTTTTATCTCTTTGTAAAATAAATTATAAAATTGAAAATATGCATAAATAACAGTGCTGCATAAATACGTCTGTGCCAAGAGGCGAATCTATCCGTGCGTAAATTACGCACCACTCTTTCCTTTTGCTTTGGTTGTCTTTGGTTTACTTATGTGCTTTATTATTTTTGTAAATTGGCAATTATTTTAAAGAAAATCTATATGTTTAATCCACTACCTTTTCAGAAGAAAAGTCAGGCTAAAAATGGTGGATTTGGGTGAAATTACGCACCAAAACAAACTTAGGCGAACATTTCTAATACGATTTTTACGCCTAACAATAAGAGCCCCGTGAAAATTATCCAGACTAATGTGAACAAAAAGGAATGACTTATTGCATGCTTTCAAGCCAAAGGGCTAACACATTCCTCTTGTTTTCCACGGTTTGTGTATTAATTCGACATGTAAATTAAAGCAATGATGATAAAAACGTGTGCGTTTTATTTATGTATTTATTTTTGGTTGCACCTCCACACTTTGATCACTTTCATTTTTGTCTCGGGATTTATGTAAGCCGGCCTCGTAGCTCAGTTTGTGCAGGAAATTCCACACCTGCAGTCATTGTTGTACCATTTAGATCAAATACTTTCTCTCCTCTTAAACTGCGGCGCAGTGTGAGAGTAAAAAAGCGCGCAGGTGCAAATCTTTCAGCTGCGCTACTTGAAATGGCGCGGTCCCGCGGCTAAGTAGGTTAAAGGTCCTCCCAAGTGGAGAAAGTATGTGACAGACCTCTTGAAGGCCGTATTCTTCTGCAGGAGTTTGCATTCATCTACAATTAATGTCGCTTGATGAACGAAATGATGCTAATAGAGCGCCAGAAAACAGAATATGGGCTTTAATGGGATGCTGGGACATAATCCTGCAGATGGGAAAGATAAAGAACAGAGGAATTCATTTTATAATAGGATTAAAGTTGGAAAGTTTTTCCTTTAGTTTAATAAAAGTTCATTTAGGAGATTTGAATTAGGCCAACAAACATATCAAAATCACTGGAGATGGAACGGATCTTTATTTTTCTATATTTTTACTGTGAAAGAAAACACTTTAAATATTTAAATAACTAAAAGTTGATTTAGAAGTTGTTGCAAAAAAGACAACAAAATATCAAAAAATTATTTAAAATATATCTTTAAATATTGAAAAAACACACATATTCAGTTTGAAAATGTCACATTTAAACAAATTAATCAAGTATTTTTCTAAAAACATACACAGATAAGCCCCTTGACTGAAGATGTGCCATTCTGCATACAAATGAGAAACTAAATGTTAATCATTTTACAAAACACAAGCGTTATGTCTCAAATTGTATCACCTGTTAAAGCACACAATAAATGAACTCTGTGCAAAAGTTATGATAAATTCAAACGCCAAGCTTGCATTACCTGCAAATCCAGATCATTTGATTTTTCTTATTAGTATGATCATATTTTAAAAACCGGGGTTAGATTTCTATTATAATGCAACAAAATGGACTGTGCATACACAAAAATACATATTCATGTGATTCCATCAACAATCCGTTGTTTACTTTTAAAAAATGAACATAGCTTCCTGAAACTTTCAGATCTGAGTTTCTGTAAGTGCCTGTGTCCTCATGCTTTGTGTGCAGAGTGGCAACATTTCAGCATAGCTGCCCTCTTTTGTAACAATTAAATAAAAGCGCGTCGCTGCAGATCAATGTGGATTATCAAACGCACAACGAAACAAAGCGGACAGTGTACTTGGACGGGGTGTTTGGTTCCAAGGGTACCTGGTTCGTCCACTTCTCGGCTGCATTAATTGTGGCAGCAGGAAGGGCAGGTAAACAAAGCTGTTAGAGAGTATAGTTGTGACTCACTCTGGCTTTGTCACCCAGCTGCTCACATGGCCAAATGCATCCACTAATACTCATCTGTTTGCCCTTCAATGCATTCAATTATTGTGATACAATGAATTCTGCCTAATGTGCTGAAGTATTTTAAACTGTAATCATCCTTTCTGAGGTTATTTGTGTATTTTCATACACTTCAATATATAACAAACACAGGTTTCTACAGTCAATTCAGTCTGACAACATGTATAAATTCCAATTTCAACAAAATGTGCATCACAAGAAAAGCTTTGATGAACCTGAAAGTGCAGAATTGAATGACTTGGAAAAGTAGTAGTAGTCTTGATAGTATTGTTAAAAACAAATGAATGCTACGTTGTTTATTTGCAGGTCAACACAAGGCCAA